GGCAGTGGTGTAGTCAGTGACCTCAATGACCTGCGGCGCGTCCACAACTTGCTTGTGTCGTCTCTGGACAAGGTGCAGGCTGGGAAGGGCTCATCCAGCCAGCTGTACAGTGAAAGTGCCATGACCATGGAGAAGCTGGCTGTGCTGAAGGCATGGGCTCAGGTGAGACCAGTGACACAGCCTCCTATCATATACACTTGACTTGACATGAAACTTATTTTCTTTGTGCTCGCCGGCTTTTCCAGGTTTATGTGGTAGCAATGAAAATCCAAAAAGATGCAGAGTCTAAGCCTGCTAAACCAGTCTGCACAGGAGATGAGGATGAGGATGAGGACGATCTGGGCACAGACGTGCTGCCACCCGACTGTCTCATCACTTTGGTGCAGCCCGAGCTGCCCTCTTTGAGCCGACTGTGGCTGGCTATGCTGCGAGACTACGCTCTGCTGACACTGCCTGCTGAGTTCTCCAGTCAGCTGCCTGCTGAGGGTACCAGACCTATATTTAACCACTAAATATTTGTGCCTATTGCCTTTTTTACCTTATTTACTTTACGTCAAATGTTTCTTTTTAATGTGGCTTTTTCTTAGGTGGAGCGTTTTATACTCCTGAAACTATAGACACAGCAAGAATCCATTACCGCAGTTCTTGGGCTCCTGTACTTCACGCTGTGGCCCTGTGGCTGAACAGCACTGAGTTTGGAGCAGAAGACCAAAAAGAAGAAGTCCAGTTTGCTCCCTCTAAGACTCCCCCACTCCCAACAGCAGCCAGTGTCACAAAGACATGTGAAGAGTCTTTCAAAGACAGGATGCATCTAATGTTAGGTAAAGACACAGAGCTGAAACATATAAAGTTTTCTGCTGTGTCGAAAAGGGCCAACTAAAGTACAGACAGAGAGAATGAAGCAAAGTAATAGCACTTAACCATTTTTGTGTCTTCCAGGTGTCAGTATAGAGTTTCTTTGCTTCCCTCGGCCTGAGGAGCCCATTGAACACGTGATGTCCTGTCTGCAGGCTCTTCGCACTTTGCTAGAATCTCCATGTGCTAAAACCCACATTGCGGAGGACCAGGTAAATTCAGCAGTTTCAAACACAACTGTCAGTGGACAAATGAGTATATTAAAAAAAAATGAGTCAACAACTTTATTTTAACCTCAATCTTTTCAAATACAGTGCTTAGGTTTCATAAACCCAAATTGATCAAAATTGACTCAGACAGTTTCAGGTCGCTGCTAGTAACTGTGATGTTTTGATTAGCTTAGCTTAGCTAGAGTTACAAGGAAGAGATGTAGCACAGGCCACAAGACCATAAATTATTTTTAATATTTTTTATCTTAGAGTTGGCTGACTATAACACAATGATGTTTCTATAATTGGAATTTCTTTTCTCAGCTTTTAGCAGTGGAGCTCCTCAACGTCCTCCACAGGCTCCTGTTGACCCGGGACCCTCCTGCTGTCCAACTCCAGGTCACTGCTGTCGTTCAAGAGACCATCAGAGCTGCACAGGACCATCTGCAGCAACAGAAGACCAACAATGGTCAGTGACCTCTGTGTTTTGTAATTCAGTCATATATGTAGCATTTCAAAATTGATTTGATCTGAAAATACAATCTGTTTCTTATGAGTCTCAACAAAAAATTTGGAAATAGTAATATGAAGTTCTTAAATTTAAAGTAACGTCATATGGCTGTTTAAGAGAGGTTGGCCACTGTATTTTGTTTTCACTTAGACAAAGAGGAGGAAGATGAGAACGAGCAAGACCTCGGGGAAGGAGAGGCAGGAGAACTAGTCCCTGGCAAGTCTCTGGTGTTTGCAGCAATGGAGCTGCTGGTGTTCATCCTGGTCCGCCACCTGCCACAGCTCAACACACGTGTGAATGAGTCGCCCAGTCATGTGCCACTTAAACCTCATCGACTACCTGACGAAAGTGCATGCCTCGTAGCAAACACAGTTTCAATCTTGGCAGAGCTACCCTCGCTCTGCTCTCCTGCTGGTGAGGCCGTGGGGCAAATTTCACCTTTGATAGTTAGCTTTTTGCTGTGATTTCTAGTGCTCGGATACTTTCATAAGTAATAATGGGAGTTAATAAACTGACATCAGGGCAACATTAATATTATAATCACATCAGTGATTGGTCATTTTAATGTTTTTTTCTTTGGGTTTTTACAGGAAGTATGACAATCCTTCCTACAGTGCTGTACCTAATCACTGCAGTGCTGAAGGAAACTGCTCTGAAGACTTCCGACAACTTGGTGCCTCTGCCAGTGTCGGCAGCCCTGCAGGCCATTAAAACCATCATCACCTCTCCACTGGCACGTGTGGAGAGCACACAGCCCCAGTGGACCAGCCTTGTGAGGAGCAGCGTTGCATCTGTGGTTGAATACTCACAGCCAGGTAGAGAAAACAAAATACAATGATCAGTGGAGGAGATCAAAATTGATAACATCATTAAACATTAGGCATATTTGCATATTTCTGCAGATGAGTCCAGGCCTGACATGGATGAAGTCAGTATGTTGACAGC